CACGAAAAACAGGCCTTTGGCGACTGTGTCAGGGCCTGAGTTCGAAAAGGCGTTCGTAACTCAAGCCGACAGTGGTGTCAGGGCGGAGGTTTCATTAAGCCGGTTGTGTCTTTTTTTTTTTTTCCGGTCGGTCGCACCACTTGGCGCCGTGCTGCGGCTGAAAAAAAGAAAAAAAAAAGGACACAACCGCCTTAATGAAACCACCGCCCTGACACCACCGCCGGCTTGAGTTACGAACGCCTTTTCAAACTCAAGCCCTGACACAGAAGCCGATGCCTGTTTTTTCTGCCCATTACGAACTCCCATGTGACATAAACGTACTTCCCCCTTTTTTTTTTTTAAATACATGAAGTTAAAAAACAAAATTGAGAAAATGATGTTGTACATCTTTGAAATATCTATAGCCCTATATTTTGAGTCTTTTTGGTGATTTTTTTTTAGCCTTCAAAAAATGTCTGTGAATTTTTTGAAACACGAAAAGAAAACACTCATTTCATCTTTTGTTTTTGTTTTTTTAATTGTGTTTATGTTTTTTAAGTCAAAGCTCAAAAAATAAAAATAAAAAGATAGAGTGGTAGACCTCAAAACGATCTACAACCCCAGATGTTTTGTTCTTTTTCTCGATAATTTTTAGCACATGAAAAAAATCATTGCGGGTCCCGGTGAAACCCGTTGCTTCGACGTTTAAACGCCAAATCAACGGAATTTAACGGCCATTAAATCATTCAACGTGGAACCCGCGTTCAATCCAGTTTCGGACACACAGCCTCCTGTACCTCGTCGCGCGTCAAATTCCTTCCCTACCTGCCTTTCGCCCTTCTGCATGCCTTCCCCTCTCACATTCCTCCACGCCCTCCTATCGGTTCCTTGTCCTTTTTCTTACGTGAGATTGACGTGCATGCTTTCCCTACACTCTCTGGCTTGACTCACTTCCATTGCTTCCTTAGCCCCTGCCTTCACCTGAGCATCCATGCTTGGTCGGCGCCCATTTTCATGTGAGCGGCTATGGTCGGGTTCCTCCTTTGCCCGGTAAGTGTATGGATGCATGCACCCGCATCTCCTGTCTCCTCCGATTGACCTCTCCTCCGCGCAATTGCTCGTGTAGGCGGGCAACCTTCCTCCCCTTCGAGTCGCGGCGTTCACAGCTGCACAGTGCTACCGCGGCGAAACAATGCACACCCGGTACGCTGTCCGTGCGAAGCGGTGTCCTCCAACTTCCTGCGGGTCCCCGCAGTACTACTTTCCAGCTTTCCAGAATTCTTAGGCCGTCTATTGTGGCCGACCGGTTTTTCCATCCTTTTTCTTGTGGGGTCCCACCCTAAGTGATGAGAAATCAAAGCAGAGCACGCAGACAAATGAATTTGCCGAGCAAGGGACCAGACAAAATCAAGACAAGGACAGACGAAAGAAATAGACACGCAGGATTTCCCCCGAGCGCAATCATGGCGCAAAATATTCAATGAAACTCAGAGAAATTGAAGTAGACGAGTACAGAATATCCCCCGAGCGCAATCATGGCGCAAAGAATTTTCAATGAAAACAAAAACTGGCGACGCCACCCGACATGTTTAGACCGATTCGCTAGTATCGGTCTCTTCAGGGGTAAGAGAAAGCGCACGGTGAGAAACCCAATAGAACAGACTAGTTATATATTAATACTACTACGATACCGATTACTAACACCCGCGAGGGAACAACCGAAAAAGTCGAAAGGGAAGGAAAAAACTTTCCCGCCATCGAAGTCTAGAGGATATTGAGAGGGCCTCAAACTTCTACATAGTTCCAAAAAAGTGTCGGAACCGGTTCCAATGCCTTTTCCTACCGCCAACCGGTGAAGCAACGGACCCAGGGGTCCCACTTTCCTGCTATTTTAATATTGAAGTTGTGCAGAGCCTGGTCAAAAAAAGTATCTGGGAAACCCCGACGATGCAACTTCATTTTCAGGAAAAGTAAAAAGGGGGCCTCCCCCACCGGTAGTGTGCCCATCTCATTCGCTCTGTGCAAAAACGCATTAATCACAACCATCTTCTGCCTCTTGCTGTTGTATGATCTGTAATCCTGAAGATTCTGGAACACAATACTCCCATCCTGCAACAAGTATTCTTGATGCTTATGAAGGGCTTAGCAGAAAATCCTCACCGGTGCAGTTCCCACAATCAAACGGCACCCTAAGTATGGCCACTCCTTGCCATCACTCGTCTTCTCCAAAATGTTGATCGTAACACTATGTTTTAAACCTTTCCAAAATCCTTACCGCTTTCCTGCGTTCAATAGAATTGTCTCGTTTGAACCTGACAAATATCGAAATGTCATCTATCAGCCTGCACCCTCTGATCAATCTAGCATCCTTGCCTTGACTCTTAAGGAAACTATACTCATTGTGCGCGCACATCAAACAGGCCAACGCTGGACTAGACGGCTTCCCCATAGGTATCCCCAAATTCTGCTTAACAATAACACCCATAGCGACCGTATACATATGCTGCAAGTCAAATACGATAAATCTGATCAGTCTTGAGAAACTAATTGATTTCCAACTAACTGGAGTAACACTAACAGTTGATAAACGAACTTCCTTACCTCTGGATTTAACTAAACACTTCGAGAACCCTTTCAATTCGTATATGCTAATAATCCATTCAACCGCGGAAATAATAGCGGTATGTGGCAATTGACAGAACATTTCTTTAACATCAAAACTTCCACATAACAACTCCTCATCTGCGCCAACACCCTTATTAACAGAATCCAAAAAATCCTTCAAGGAATTCGTACTTCGAAGATTAAAATGAGAAGAGACGGGAAGACGACGCAACAACTCATTTACACAGGCGGAGGCCAATTCACAAGCTCTACGAGTTGGCTCTTTCGTGGCCGGACAAATAGGTCGCCATTTACTTATGTCCTTATGCTAAGGCAATACATAAGCTCTACCTAATGATCCTTTCACTGACCAGGGGGCTATAAGAGTTAACTTCTGATTAACATATTATTTCCTACAGTTATTCAGTAAAGCTTGTTCATCGAGTGTTACCTTCTCTAAACCAGCCCCATTCATAAACAGCTTGCGCATCCCATCTGCGTAAACCAAAGGACAACAAAAATATGTGTCGCCGGCATTGTGGTCAATTGCACAGGCAAGTAGACCGCGAAGTCTATCCTTCCAAATAACCACTTCTTCACCAGAAATGTACGTGATATTATCATTAGAGTCAGAAAAACGAGAAAAAACATCTACATGTGATAATCTCGAGGTCTTAACCTTAAAGAAACTATCTAGAGATTGATATATATGTGCGAGAAGTGTTCTAGGACTGGAACGATAATTGGGCAGAATAATATTGTAAGAATTGACAAGGGAAACAGGGAGGAAATCTACTAGACTAGCTCTAAAGGAAATATGTCCATCTTCTCTCGGAAAGAGCGTGTCAATTCGATCACTGATGCAGGCGTGTTCCGAGACCCGTGCATACTCTCGGTAATTATGAATAACATCCGCCACATATTTATTACGCGTGAACACGACTCGAAGACGTCTGCTAACATATTGCAGATAGGGAGTAGGAAAGTTACAATGCAACAACAATTCCCTGCACATGCGTCTAATACCATCCAGCGAGAGACCAAGATCATATCTAATCCTAATTACGAGCTTTCCAGATAGATTTAGACTGAATTTCTTACGAAAGGCTTGAGAGAGGATGAGTCTGACAGAGAAGCGAGAACGTTTCAGGGAGAAAGTCCAAACAGCATCATAGGCGAGAAGAAAGAAATCGAGACCCCAATTTTTTAAATCTTTACGAGAGATAGGAGTAGAAAGCAGTTGAACGAGCGTATTCTTAATAGGGAGAAAACGAGCGTAACTTCTTCTAACATAGACAAGGGTGAATTTAGGACCCGAGAATAACCAAGATCTAAAGTTCTTAAGTAAAGCGCGAGCAAGACCAGGAGAAAAGAGCGCAAAAGAACCATATTCCCGTCGGATATGTTTCCAATTCTCTGAAAGGTGAGATCCGGATAGACATTGGATAGTTGCGGGTTTGTGAAGACTGGAAAGGGAGCGAAGAATAGACAAGAGACTGATAGTACTAGGTTTGTTATCATTAGTAGAGAAGACGAGAGGGGAAGCAAAACGGGTTACACACAGGGAGGATGGATTGTTTGTTCGAGACTTTCTGTGTTCGTTTCTACCTGGCCTATTGCGCCGTTTACGGCGTCTTCGGACTACGGAGTTGAGGGCAGGGGAGAAATGTTGGATGAAGAATTTTTCCGAAGCAAGGAGATCGTCAGGAGAGGAAGGAGAATAAATAGGAATTGCTATGTAGCTATTTACACCACATCGTGATAACCATCTGTACAATCGTCGACTTCTTTTATCAAAGACCCTACATGTAGTACATCTGACATGCTCTCGCCACCGAACTAGAAGAGATCTGTTAGTACATCCGATATATACATGCTTAAACCATAGTGAGATGATTAGGTATACGACAGGACCTGCACATTTATTGAAATCATATCCCGAAAGAATTAATTTACACAAATGATCATTAAACTTCAATCCCCATCCAATAATCAAAATAATAACAATGAGCCGGAAAGCATATTCGAGCAAACCAATATTCTCAAGGACTTTCCCTCAAACCTTAAACGAACCATCCCGACATTGCAGAGCAAGGTCCCAAAGCTTGACTGGGCTCGGGGCACCTCCTCACTTGTCGCCATCCTCGGCTGATGTAGCGTACTGCTCGTCGTCCTCATCTTCGCTACCACCCTGTGTCGGGTCGCTCTGTTTGGCCGCCCCGTTAGGGTCATCCATAATACCCAATTCGATGCGCGTGCGGATTTCCGCCACGTCAGCCTTTGCCTGGGCTAACGTGATGTATGATATTCCAACCTCGGCACACATCCGCTCAGCTTCCGACTTTTTCACCTGCTTGATCTCCTTCAACTTTGCGGCCAGAACCTTGTTGTATCGCTCCTCATCATCCTATCCGATCAGATCTGCAACCTCGCGTTTCCTCTGTAATGGAACCTCCTCCTCTCCCTTGTCAGAATCATCTTCAACCTCTACAGCGTCTGCATCTGCCAAAACTTCTTCAAGTTACGTGGCGTGGTTTTTCGTGCAGAAGGGGCATGCTTCAATTTGAGGGCCGATCGTTTTGTGTAACATTCCTTGAGCATTCGTACCTCCTCCTGCGCCCACTGCTTACTAACAAGTGCATCTTTATAAGCCTTGCGGAGCGCTTCCATGTCCTTAGGCGTGTACATAGCGGTGCCTGCAGCGTTAACCTTCGTCTTGCCTCTAGCAGGTTCCTCTGGAGGACTCTTTGTAACCGCCACGGATGATCTCTTGAACAACTTCAAATCACAGACCTCTTCCTTCATATCGATGAACTCCCTCTTGAGGTACGTGTTCTCCTCCTTCAGCAGTGCCACCTCACTGTTCTTCTTTTCAAGAGCAGCACGAAAGACCGAGAGCTCCTCAATCTGCTTCTTGAGAGCAGCAATTTCTAGCTGGTCCTTCTCATTAGAAGTTGCCGACGAATCAGTAAGTCCATCACCTCTTCGCAGTGCTTCGATCTCTTTCTTAAGCTTCTCCTCTTCTTTTGCCCTTTCCTGCTTCCTTCTTAATTCCTCACGCTCCTTTTTCAGTTTTTCCAAACTCTCTTTACTAGCAACATCAAGGCGTTGTGCCTTGAGACTCTCCAGTTCCCGTCGAATACGAACCAACTCCGACTCTCCTTCATCAGGTAAGTCTTCTTTCTTACCCAAAGCACTCTCACAGACAATCTTCATGCTCTCCCTTACTAATCTCCCCATCGCCAACACATGAGATTCCTTCTGCTTCTGCTCATCCATTGCCTTCTTCTTCTCCTCCTCCGCTTTTTCCAACCTTAATGATTCATTTTTCTTCGCCTTTCGTTCCCCCACTTGTTCCGATAGAAGATCGTATATCTTCTCAAACTTCTCGTCCCTCTCCGTATGCTTGAAATGATCCCTATACTGATCCCTGTATTGTCCATTCCATTGCCGGGGATAACGCTGGTATCCGCTATAATTCCCTCTTCCATAGCCGAAAGTGCCAGAACTTTGTCCGTTATTATGCTGGCCTGCCGCTCCTGTGTAAGGCACGACGGCGTTCGAGGCTGGTGCCGGTAACAGCCCTCCATTCGAAGATGAAGCTCCGCTGTTATTGTTCCCAGCCACAAGCTCGGCTGCATTTGGAATCCCCCTCAACTGACAATCACGAACATAATGACCCGGAAGCTGGCAATGATGACAAACTCCTCTTGGCGCATACATACTCGCTGATGGAAACCAATGGAAAGATCAGGACTACAGCGTCCCGATGAAAAGAGCAAGGAGACGGGCAAATATGCCCTTACACTTCGTATAACTGTGCATAAAGACTTAGCATGAAAGACGAATAATCAAGAGCCGACGTGAAAGCGAAAGGGCGAGAAGCGAGAAATAGGGAGAGAGCGTAATCACACGGAACGGGGTGATCATCCCCCCGCGGGTTCATACGTGAGTGGCGCAGTGATGAGAAATCAAAGCAGAGCACGCAGACAAATGAATTTGCCGAGCAAGGGACCAGACGAAATCAAGACAAGGACAAACGAAAGAAACAGACAAGCAGGATTTCCCCTGAGCGCAATCATGGCGCAAAGAATTTTCAATGAAAACAAAAACTGGCGATGCCACCCGACATGTTTCGACTGATTCGCCAGTATCGGTCTCTTCAGGGATAAGAGAAAGCGCACGGTGAGAAACCCAATAGAACAGACTAGTTATATACTAAGGGTCTCGTTAGACACTCCTAAAAGAATCCTAAAAGATTTAGGATGAGTCCTAAAAGTTTTTAAGGATTTCGCGCGGCGTCGTTACACGTAATCATCCTAAAAGTTTTCCTGCGACCCGTTTTCATACACGTATACGCAGCCGCGTCGCGGATGTCCGTCCAGTCCTGGCTGGTGTCCGTGGTCCACACTGCGGTGGGGCTTGGGCGGCTGCCGACGGGTTGGTGAAGCGCGCGGTTGCCGGGACGTTCAAAATTTGAAATTCGAATTTTGGCGGACGCAGGCTGGCGGGCTGGAGGACGGCAAGGCGACGCGTGTGACGTACAAGACACGGCGGTGGCGGCCCCTTCGCCGTGGGTAACCAGCTTTGCTGTACGCGGGAATTGTGAGGAGCGAGGCGCATCTTCCTACTTGGCGCATCTTCACGTACGGACGTGCCGTCACCTTCGCTGTGGAAGTGTAGAGCAGTGGGCGCGTCTTCGACATCGCGCTTGATCCATCTCCTGAGGTAGTGCACAGCTGCGGGACGTCTACGGTTCACACAGTGCGTGTGGTGTCTAGTGGCAACGCTGAGCAGCGGGCGTGTCTTGGGCGGTTGAGGCAGGAGCGAAGGTGTGGCGGGTAAGCGATTTGCGAAGATGGATGGCGGAGGCTGCGGCCACGGTCTGCGGGCCGAAGAGATGGAGGCGGTGGCGATGGCGGTGTCTACCATCGTCCTGAAGACGATGAACGAGATGTCGTCGTCGTCACGAGACGTGGCGAAGTAGCTCCGTAAACGACGAGAGCTGTTGCAAAGCGTTGCCGAAGCGGTGGATTGCGTGGCGACGTGTGAGGCAGTGGTCCAGTTGTGTGCCGCGCTGTCATCTGGCGTTTTCCCACGGCAGACCCCGTGATGGTGGATCAAACGACATACTGGCGGAACATGGGAGGACCTCCAGCAAAGCGATGACGCCACGGACGAGTACTACCGCCAAAAGTTGCGCATGTCGATGGCCATGTTCAAGCAGATCGTAGCCGCTCTCATCGCGTTCGTGGAGAGGAAGGTCACGCACTACAGGACGCCATTGCCAGCGGAGCAAGTTATGGCTTTCTCGTTGTATAGGTGGGCGTACGGGGAGACGTACGAGAGTGGCACTTCAGCTTTCGGAATCAGCAGGGCCACTGGACTGCAGGCCGTCCGCGACGTCACTTCGGCGCTGCTGCGGGCGTACCTCGACGCCATCAAGTGGCCAGTGGGCCGCAGACGTGCGCAGATTCTCCGCGCTTTCCGTGACAAGGGATTCCCGAACTGCTTCGGCGCCATCAACTGCACACACATCTACATCGACAAGCCCGCCGACGCACCTTCTGCCAACTACTACGACCGCAACCACAAGTTCTCCATGCAGGCGCAGGTCATCGTGGATTTGGATCTCCGGATCCTAGACGTCCACGTTGGATACCCGGGGAGTGTGCACGACGTCCGCGTCCTGCACAATTCCCAGCTCTGGAGGCTCGCGCAGACTGGCGAGCTCTTCGACGCAGCTCCAGAGAATTTGCCGCACGGTGTCGTCACGCGAGGATACCTGCTGGGCGACAACGGTTATCCTGTTGCCTGTCCATGGATCGTGCAGCCGTATGGAGGAATAGACCAAGGTCCTGACGAGGAGCGCTTCGACAACCGGCAAAAGGTGGCGCGGGGGTGTGTGGAGAGGGCGTTCGGCCGACTGAAGTGCATGTGGCGTCTGTTCTTGCGCACCCACAAGACGAACCTGGAAACATT